AGATCCCGCCCACCCAGCAGAGCGGATACTGGCATCTCTCACCCTGTGACTGAGGTCAGGGATGTCGCGCTGGCTTCCTGGTCTGGAATGTGTGCTTCAGAAGAACTGGTCCGCGAATGGGAAACTTTGTGCTTCTTGCCATTCCCTTTGTCCAAAGGCAGCTGAATCCGTTTGATTTTTGGTTTGGGTTTGGTGGGACCCGGCACGGAGGGGCTTGCTGACTGCTGCCCAGAGGACGGAGAGCCCCCAGGAGAGGCTGAGCTGGCTTGCATAGCTGAGGATAAAGCCTTGTTCTGCTCCAGCCCCACGCTGTTGGGGGCATCTACTGTCTGGGGAAAGCTGGCTCCCTGGGTCCCTGGAGCAGAATCAAGATCACGCTGGGAAGGGAGAATCCCAGTTTTGCTGGCAAGGAGCTGGTTCACGTGCTGAAGCTGATAGTGTTCTTCTGCTTCCCCCGGAGGCGACGCGGCCGTTATGCCCGCGGTCTGAGCAGAGGGGAGCACGCAGATGCTAGATGCCGCTGTCATCGCGGCAGGAGGAGCCTGGGATGTCCCCAGTTGCGGAAACATTCCTGAACTTGGTGGTAAAGCCACAGGCTGGTCCTGCATCCCCAGGCTCTGCTGACTGGCTTTGATTAAAAGGTTGCTTATTGAGCCAATATCCGGGGTACCGAGCAGCCTGGGGTTGGTTAACGCGACATGTCCCGGAACTGATGCACTACTTGTAGGGGTTGTTGCGGTTTGCATGGATACAACGTTCAAGACGGACGAACCGGATGCCAAGCCAGACACAGGCCCCGCGGTGAGGTGGCCAGTGTCCTGGCTTATTGTTGATGCGCCCGCCGCCGCCGCGGCAGTGCCTCCCACACTCTGCGGTAACAGCGGAGCCTGTTCAAAATACATGATGCCAGATTTAGACCTTTTTATGATGTTGGGGACAGTTCGGTGAGATGAAGTGTTAAGTGAGCCCAAATCTAGCAGATTGGGATGATTTGGCAGCTGGGAGGGTGTGAAGTTAATCAGTGTCATGTTAGAAACCACATCGGAAGGGGCAATGTTTGAAGGGTTGCTAGAGGGAGCGAGTTTTTTATTCTTTCGGGTCTGCAGACGAGATATGGGTCTTTTCTTGAGTCCAGAGGATGGAGTGGCTACTGTGGTACTGAGGTCTGTCCTCTGGCTGGCTTCTGAAACCAAAAGTTGGGGATCTGGAGGAGGCTGAACCCCAATAAGTAGGCCTGAAGGAGGGCTGTTGATGTTGGGTGGGAAACTACTTTGAGTAGCTGCGGGGAAGGAATGTAAGTGCTGGCGATGAGACATGGGGAGCAATCCTTTGCTAGCAGGAGGGAAGAGAGATGGAGAAGTTGGCAAGCTTGGATTTAGTCCCGTGGCTAGGGTGAGACCACTTCCCATGGGCCCCAATACTGAAGTATTTGTCTCCATCACATTGGGTGTAGAACTAACAGAAGAGGTCAATTGGATTTTTTGGGTCACTCCATTTGGAAGAGTTTGGAGAACATAAAGTGGCTGCATGTTCTGGTTAACAACAATGAGTTTCTCAGTGGCTGGTTTCAGGTGGGGTGGAGTGGTCTGGACAGCTGCATTAGAAATCTGAGATGGGCCAGGACTCTCGGTAGAGTTGGGCACATATTTCTGGTTCTGGATAGGAACAGTAGGGGAAACAGGTACCTGAAGGCCGGGGGTGCTACTGTTTCTAGTTAAATCCTGATTGTTGCCATGACCCTGCTCCACTGAACCACAAGGAGGGCTGGAGATGTGGTCCGCGTCCATGTGTCCTTGGATAAAATGATCGGGAGTCATGTGGCCTTCGGGCGTCGGATCTACTCCGGGACTCAGCAGTGCCGAGTCCCCTTCAGAGGAGGCCACAGACTTCTCTGTGATGGTCACCCTCTTCTCTCCTGAGTCAGAGATCACAGCCAGTCTGCTGGCATTCTGGCTGGGGACCGTGGGACTCCGGGTGGTCAGGACGGACAGATCAGACGGCAGCTCCAGGGGCAGCTCGAACTGCTCCTCTGCTGAGATAGAGGAGGAGACGCTACTGTCCACAGGTTCTGTCGTGGGCAGCTGCTGAGAAAACACTTCGAAAAGACCCATGTCCTTTTCCCGGTTACTGTCGAGACCCAAGCCTTCACCGAGATTTAGGAGTTCCGATGAAGAGGACTCTGGGCTCTCGCCCAAAGCCTGCATGGATGGGGTATTCTTTAGGACGAAGTCCATGATGTCCGAGGGCAGGATGTTCCCACAGTCGTCGCTGTTGTTGTTATCCGAGTCCGATTTCAGGAGCTCGGTGTTGTAGGTGTCTAGTAGGTTCTTGTCCGACGGGGTGCTCGTGTGGACTCTGCGGCTTGACTCCAATGAGCTGAGCTGAGCCTCCAAGGAATCCTGCCCCTGTGTTTTAACTCTGCTCACAGAGTGGCAGTTATCCATCTTTGGCTCATTTTTGTGGCCCACGGAACTCTTAATGACGTGCTCTTTCTCGCCGGCGTCTTCAGGCCGCTCCATCTTTAAGTTTTCCGTTCCGTTTTCTTTGCCGTTTCTCTTTGGAATCTGGCTGCTCTTCCTCGCTGTGGCTGTGACGCTCGTATCGCTCTCTGTGCCGTCATCGACACCATCCAGCTGAGAAATCTTCGGGAGGTCACACTGTTCTTCCTCCCGAAATAGATTATGGGATGCCAGCCGTTCCTCTCCGCCTGAAGAAATCACTGTCCTAGTGAAATTGTAATAATATAAGTCATCTTCATCAGAAGTGCTTAGGTCATCGGCCCCATCCACCTGTCCCTCAGCTGATCTCTTGCCTCGTTTCTTCCCAGTTGAGCTGCTGTAGAATGGAATGTCTTCTTCACCGTAGGATCTTACCCCATAGAGTGGGGTGAGCCCGAAGAACATGTTAGAGCGTGCCCGGGCACTGCGACGGGGGTATCTCCGCTTGAAAGAGCCATCCTCCTGAGGTTTGGGACCATCTGGAAGCATCAGGTTTCTGTCCTGAACCGGAAGATTCTGATAATTGTTACTTTGAGAATCCTGGGATGAGGTATTATTGGGGCTTGGCTGGGCCACTGGACCATCTCCTGGACTTTCAGAGGCTGAAACTGGTTCTGTTGGAGACGCTGACTCTATTTGCAGAGGGGAAACGGGACTACTTTCTTTCAGGGTATTCTTGGACTGGCCCTCACTTTCCATTTTGAGAGGCGTCAGTGTCACTTTGACCGTGCGTTTCCGGGGTGTCTGTAATTCCTTGGCAGATCCTTCTACTTGCAAGGATGGAGCTTTGGGGACTCCTGGAATAGACAGGACTTTGTCTCCAATCTTATCAGAAGAAACATTATTACATGGTCGTTGCCCCATAAATTCTGGAGTCAAAACTTCATCAACAAACTCCGGCTTTAGGTTTCCTTCCTCACCGGTGGTCACCTGACCAGGTTCCAAAAAAGACTTACTGGAATGTTTTTCTTTGAAAGTTTCTTTACAAGACTTTTTCCCTTTCTGTCTCCTGTCCCTGGAACTAGATCCCACATGTTCATTGACAATGGATGACCTGTTGCTCACTCCAGATAGCTTCAAGGTTTTGACTTCCGCATCTTCCTCGGGAGAGGGGTTTACTGATTGGTTCGAGTCTGCGTGTTGGTCTCGATCGTTCCTTTGCCCTCTCAGATGGAGTGGGGGGAAGGAGAGGGCCTCTTTAGAAGAAAACGGCACCGAAGAGAGTTCAGCAAAAGTGCCGATCTTGCTAGCATTTAATTCTCCAGATGCTGTGTTATGAAGCTGCGGGGCCAGCTTGGGAATGCCAGGATAAGCCACAGCATGTGCAGATCCCTCTGAACTCTTGGAACCTGGCACTTTGGCCTTCTCTCCCTTCAAAGAGGAGCTCTTGGATGCCAAGTCGGAAGCACTGGAGTGCTTCATTTCTGAAGATGAAGATCCGTCCAAGTGACTGGTTTTAGTGCCCATAGTAACCACTGTCCTTTGCAAATTTGAAGAGGTGGGAGTGTTTTGCCCTAAGTTACTGTTTGAGTTCAGCGGTCCTAAGACGTGATCAACTGCTTTGGCACTTGACTCAAGATCTGTGGCAGTCCCGATGGCGGAGACTGAGGGAACACTATTCCTGGAGTAAGTACTCCCAGTTCTCACTGGAGACATTATCCGGAGTTTAGACCGCTGGGGTGACAGGGAAGAAGTGCTGTGTCGCCTGGAGCCAATGCTTCGGAGTCCAGAGGAGAGTAAAGGGTCACCCACTGTGACTATTTCATGAGTGGTTGGGGTAGGACTTCCTGAACAAGAGAGAGAAAATAATAGTCTATTACAGAGAGGGACAAACGTGCGGTAGCCACTGCTTTCAATGACTCGGCAATGACTTTTCACTGAAAACTGCAACGATCAAGATTTTCAACGAGCCAAAGTCACTGAGATAAAGTTGCCTGCAAGAACCACAGGCTAATCTTTGAGCTAACCTTTTTGGGTCAAGTTTGTCAACGAGGTAGGTCCTTTACCTGCAGAAGGCAATGGCCGACAGCCAGGGGATCTCTGTGTTGGAGAGTAACTAGGTGTTCGAATCCTAGGGACCTTCGAGATGACATGATAAAAACAGGAACCAGAGGTTTGCGAATGAGGTCGGTCTGGTGAAGGAGGACTTATAATTTCAGCTGTGTTCTGACTTTCTTTAGATGAAATTTCTGTGGTAGGAAAGAAACACTCGTTACTAAAAAAAAGTCCAATTAAAATATCCATCAAATGGGGGCGCCTGCCTGGCTCCGCGGGAGGAGCATGCACTCTTGAACTCGGGACTGTGGGTTTGAGCCCCACGTTGGGTGTATAAGGTTACTTAAAAATTAAATCTTAAAGAAACAAAATAAAATAAAATAAAATAAAATAAAATAAAATAAAACAAAACAAAATAAAATAAACAAACACACCAATAAAAAGTAAGCTATTAAGGTAAAAATCAAAATAGAAACAAATGACACCTCCCAGAGGGATGACATTTTTCTGCCTTCAATCACGGTACTCCCAAAAATCAAACTCAAGTCCCATCTCGATTAAAGTCTCACCTGCAAAAGACGTGGGACTGTGAGCGATGGTCCTGTTTTCATCGTGCTCCACAGTGCTGTTGATATCTGGCTCTACAACCGGAGGACGGCACTCCACTATCTTGCACGTGTACACACAGCGCTTGCGAGCATCCGTGGTACTCCAGTACACCCTGGAACACCTGGCAAACAGATCCATCAAAATCACCACCAGCAGAGTACAGAGGCGGAGACGAACACGTGCCCAAACCTCTCCTCATCCTCGGTTCCCTGGCCTCCTGGGTTGACAGAATTCAGCTTCACTTCATGGATTCTTATTATAGATCCCCCTGGCTAGGCTGTTCCAAGCTTTTTGAAATTCTTGGTTTTTCCTAGTCTCTCAGAAAATAGCATAACGTCTTTTTTTATTGTAGCGTAAGCAGGAGACAAAAATAGTACAAGATCCTAAAATGCAGAGAAAGAAAAATACTAACTGCTACAAGAAATAGTTCTTGACCTGCGGGAAGGGATTACTGCCCCGCCGGGTGTACGAAGTGAGGAAAGAGCAAGCCCGAAGTGTTTCCTTTGGGAGAAAAGCCCCACAAGACAAGGGAAATGTAACTGCTTCCAATCTGCGGGATGCTGATGGAGCCTGGTTTATACAAAGGGCTGCCGGCTAAATGCAGAGTATAGACTGTGCCGCCAGAATTGGAATGCAGAATAAATTGTGAGTATATATAGCAAAATGAGACTCCAAAATGGGAGAGCTAGAAAAGGAATTTTAAATTTATACTGTCAGCCTGCTAGAAGTTTCAGACATTTGCTTCACATAGGAAAGATGATAAATTCTCACCGGAGAATATGATTATTATTGTGGGGGGTTTATATTTTTGGACTGAGGACAGAGGCATGAGGGGTTTGTCTGATCCACTACAACAATCTGGACGTCTGAATCCAGATAAATGGAACTCTTAAGAGACTGACCTCACGTTTTCTATTTAGGTTTTATTTGGAAATGATTCTGAAAGTATGCCAATAGTACTTTCCTTCTATACGTGGATTTAGCAGACATAAACTGATACTTTAGGCCCAATCTACAAGAAGTAGCAAAAAACGGAGTTAATTTGCAGTAGCAGTTAAAAGTAGCTAACAAGTGGGGCGCCTGGGTGGCACAGTCGGTTAAGCGTCCGACTTCAGCCAGGTCACGATCTCGCGGTCCGTGAGTTCGAGCCCCGCGTCAGGCTCTGGGCTGATGGCTCGGAGCCTGGAGCCTGTTTCCGATTCTGTGTCTCCCTCTCTCTCTGCCCCTCCCCCGTTCATGCTCTGTCTCTCTCTGTCCCAAAAATAAATAAACGTTGAAAAAAAAAAATTAAAAAAAAAAAAAAGTAGCTAACAAGTATGGCTCTCCATTCAACGACCTGCTCGTGGTTCGGGGTGCTCAAGCTGCGGGGGTTGGGGTCTTCTCTCTACAGTGCTACTTACTGATATCCGATAGGAAAAAGCTTATCTTCACAGTCAGAGAGATCATTCAGAATTCCTAAGCAGTCAATTGTCATGGAGCCTGACCAAGGAAAGGAGAACTAGTTAGAGGAGATAATGAGAAGGCTCACTTCTAAACCAGAGACCAGAAAGTACCCCAGTGATACACGGAGCCTTCCCCAACAACGGAGGCACATGTCATACCAATCATCATGTGGATATTTTCTGGTTCCAAGCCATTGAGAAACTTCCTTCTCAAGCTGATTCCTTCAAAGTCCACAAACACTCTTCTAAAAACTTCAAATCCATTCTCAGGAACCACCTAAAATGAAAATCCAGCTGTTAATAGGCTGCCCCTTTACACATTACATGCGTGATACCGATTCTCTCAGAGGGCAAAGTACAGAGCAGATCTCAAAATCACCCTGCTGTTTCACAGGAGGACTTCTGCATTTGCAAGAGAAGGTGATTCTAGGAACACACAGTTGGAAGGTAACACAAAGCTTACCATCTTGCTGTCCTCAGCCTGTTTTCCCTGAACTCCTATAGAATTCGAAAAGTAACGAAGTTCTCACCTCGCCTTTGATCAAATCCCGATGTCGTTGGCAATATACTTTCTTATCATCCAGAAAGACACAGTTCTTGGCGCGAGAACACATGAAGTGATAGTTGCTGGTGCAGGATGTAAGGCAGCAACCCACAGTGGCTCCTGGCTTTTGGCAGAATTCACATCTCTAACCATCCAGAGAGAACAGAGGCCTAAGTCAGACTTTCAGAGGTTTTAAGCCACTTTCCATCTCTAAAGAATTATCCCATTCTGCGTTTCCTACAATTCATTTCTTTTATTGGTAATTGAATTATAGAGAAATGATATGAGCCATAAATCCTCCTCTACAAATCCTCTCTCTCCCACTGCCCCTAGGCCCTAGAACTATTAAATATCACAATTTGATTTAGAACTTAAACCAGTTTTTTTTTTTTCTAGGATGCACGATTGATTTAGAGAAGACAAAATTTCGAAGACTGATACTACAAACATCATCTTGTTAGAAAGGTACTATATCCAAAAGAATTCAGTTCTGGAAAGAGTATACCGATCAGAAACATAAGGGTTCTCTAGTTACTAGGCTTATTAACAGATTAAATTTATCAGATGATTCAAAGATTTCCTACAACTAGCCTGTATGTCAGCACCTTATTCTGTCAATCACAGCCTGGGCTCCTCCCCACAGAAGACTTTGTCCTCTCCATGCAATTGACATGTTTTCTTTGCATGTGCTTTTTGTTTGCTTGTCTCTCTCCCTTTTTCTTTCTTTCTTTCTGACAATCCTTCATCTTCTTCCCTCCTTCCAAATATAGTTGTTAAAAATTTTACTCCTTCGTGGCCTTTTCGGACTACTCTCAGCTTCTACTGATCATTTTCCACATCCCTCTTCCTGTGTGTATCTATGTGGGTTTATCCTATGGAACCACAGGGTGTTGATCCAGCTGGGACCTCTGAGGTCATTTTGTCTAAATCACTTAATAAAGTAACACCCTTCTTGCACATATTATCTCCCAAACTAGACAGTACTTTGTTTTCTGTTTCTTTTGTACCATCCTCCAGGGAGGGGTCAGAATAGCAATCTGCCTATAGTATACACCACTATTTGCTGCTGGCTAACCATTCTGAAGGCACTACGAAAAGCATCAGCGAGGTAGCATTTAGCCAAGAGAAAACACCTGGAAACAGAGAGAGGATCTTTTCTGTAACATTTACACAGGTCTTACCAGCTGTTTGCCCCTGATCACAGCCATGTGCACATTCTTTAGTGATCCATCATCGTCTTCAAACACTTCTGCTGACCACAAAGCGCAATTTACATGTGTCCACTCATTTTGGCCAATGTATAGCAAACGGCCAGCATCCTATGAAATCAAGAGATTTCTTTTTTCTTTAAAGAATATAATGCCAAAGAAGGTTTTCCTTGGTATTAGCTTTATCTCAGTCAAGGTAGTATCAACAGTAATTCTTTAACTTGGGGATGCACGCAAAGATCAAAAGTCATTTTTCGATGTTTGTTTCTACTTCTCACCTTTCTAGATTACCTCTTCCATGGACTGGAAATATTTTACAAACATAGGGAACAAAAACATTAGCAGCACGTGGTAAGTTTATGAAAGTGCGCACTGACTTCTTTAAAACCGTATTTCCAAGCCAGTTCTCTTAGTGTGCGTTTCTTTCTTATAAAACCTTTCTTATTGTAAGCTTACTATGGGCCAGGCACTAAATAAAGCTTGATGAACATTATTTCCTCTAATCCTTATAACCCGCAGTGGTTACGTGTTATCATTATCCTCATTTTAAAGATGAAACTGAGAGTCAGGGAGGTTAAGCTCCTCGCCAAGGTCAATAAGTAGGCAGCAGAGTAGAGAAATGAATCCAGGCAGCCTGCCAGCGCTGGGGATCTTAACCACTCTGCTATCCTATGTTAAACACAAGCCTTTAAATATGCAACTTACATATTTTATGGACTCTCATAAAATCTTTTTGAGGAATTTCCTGTAGAAATTATGAGACATCAGCAGGTTAATTGAAGGCAAATCATCTTTTAAATGAAAGAAAAGAAAAAACCCCAAGTGCCACATGCCAGGTGACAAACATTCGTTAAATAAATGGCACCCAGTCATCAAATTTAGACACAAAGGACACACAGTTCATGTGAGCATCTGCTAAGTAGGACCCCTTACACCAAGGTACTTACATTAGCACTGTCATCACCATACATCAAACACAATGCACATTGTCTATTATCCTCGATGCCTGGGGGTGGATTCAGTTCTGGACTATCTTCTCGACTCCTATCAGTACCTTAGAACCCAAAAGACAACCAGTTAAAATTGGCAATACTACGTCTGATTTCCAGGAAGAAAAAAAAAAACCCACTTAGGCTTCAATAGCCTGCAGCTTATAAAATAAACACTTTCAAAAAGTGTTCAAAGTTATGTTATCTCGCCATCTGTTACAGCGGTTCTATCGATTTCTTGTTATCGGTCCAAGCTAAGCGAAAACGATGATTGCGTTACATTTAAGGATGACCTCGAAATTTCTTTCTAATATGCAAGTGTATTAAATTTAGATTCACGAAGTTGATCATTTGCATCTAGAGACAAATGGATAATGACTCATTTGGTGCCTTACTCAGAATTGGTGGTGTAGGAGGATGGAGTGGTGTTGGAGAGTCTGGTTCTCCGGGCCCTTTAGGTTTGGGAGCTGGGATGATTTTCTTCATTAAAGGAGGCTGCTCAGTGTGGCTGTTTTCCTCTCGCTCCTGCCACTGAGCATAATTATGGTCAAGTGAAGGTGGAAGCACTGCGTTTGGTAACATCCCACTGCTGAAAATAATTGATTCAACAAGTATTTATTGACCTCCTACGACACACCTAGAACTACACAAAATTATCAAATTCTTGGCATCATCAGGTTACAGCCCCATGCACGAGCCATTCACAGAATGTAAGAACAAGCCACAGATTGTGAAAACGGCCTACATATACAGGACTTTATTATTTAAAAAAATATATCCTCGATACATGACTCTTGGTGAAACTTCCAGAAAGAAATGATAACTTTATCAAAAAATCAAAAGGATTTAGTAGAATAAAATTTTTAAGTTAAATATGGAGACTCAAGAGCAGGAGAGAGCACCATTTGAACCAAATAAAACAGAACCCGGTTATCACAAGTCCAAATACTGAGCTACATATATAGCACGTGGATTGTACCTACGCCACAAGTTAAGCCAAATTCCGGAAAACATAACGTATAAAGAAAGAAAAAAAATGGGCAACAGACTATAATAAACATTAAGTATCATCTCTAAAGCAGCATCGAAAAGGCATTTCAAATGATTAATTGTTAATATTAAGACCTAGTCTAAAGAAACCTTAATCTAGAAATGTCAGAACTCTCAAATTTCTAGCTGATGAGGAGGAAAAAAAAGGAATACCAAGTTTACTTACTTGCTCGATACTTTATTTGGCTCCCAAAACCTAGACTTTTTGACACTGAACCATGGAAAAACACGTTCCATTTGCTAACAGAAAAATAAACAAACAAACAAATGTAAGCATGTGAACATCCATTTGGAAACCACACGAAAACTAACAACTTCACACCAGCTTCCCTGTCAATACGAGGACGATTTCAGGCCACTAAGGGAAAGATCCATCCACTCTGGCAACCTCACCAATTTCCTCCCAAAGAATCAGAGGAATTAACTAAACCAAAAGATGTTTTACACACATGGCAAAACAAATCGGAGAAGAGAACAAATCCGCTTTGCTCACAGAGTAATTACCCATAGATGCGCATTAAAAACATGAACTATTAATATCATTCACCCGAATAAAGAAGGACTTGACCATGCTGTTGGCTTTTTTAATTTCTGGCTGTCCTCCATCTGAATTAATGGCTGCTTGAATGATCTTCACGATATCATCACTGAACTCCAACTGTATACAAAAACAAAGTATTAATTATTCAAAAAGCAGTGTGGTCTCAAAACCACTTCCTGTTCCCTCCTAAATCACCCAGCACAGAAATCCAACAGAAAATGGACACCCTACTTTAATGCAGTGTAATTTGTCTTTAGCGGAGGCTTTTTGAATTCAGTTCTCAATTAACTTGCGGCAGCCAAGAGAAGCCAGGCTAATAAAGCAAGTATGCAAATAAATTAGCTGTTACCATGGCAAGTTACCCAAATAGGACCATGATTTTTTACTCAGATTAAAATGAATAAAACAACTGAATAGCAAATGTGGACCATGAGATTACAGATGTTCCCGTACGTTCTTTTTATTTTAAATTTTGTAATTTTTTAAGTAATCTCTACATCCAACGTGGGGCTTGAACTCACAACCTCGGAGATAAGAGTCGAATGCTCCACTGACTGAGCCAGCTGGATGCCCCATCAACAAATGAATGTCAAATATGGACCATGAGATAACAATCATTCCCATACATCCTTAAAACCATACATTTAAAAGACATCTGTCTATAATAAAGATCCTAGACTGAAAGACACGTTATTCAGACATGATTTCAAAAGGGGCAAACCAAGTAACTTCACGTTAGCATGTTCCCACAAAGTTTAAATATAAAAATAATTTTAAGGCAAAAATGATTTTCAGCGAACTCAGATGAAAGCCAAACCAGAGAACTGTTCTGAGACACTACCTCCCTGTCTTCTGAAACACAGAGCTAAGAGAGCTCACATATTTTTAGGTATTTAAATCCACATGACGTTGCTAAATATAATACAAACCATCTTTTAATGCTTACTCCCAAGCCTCATCCCCCAAAAGACCCAAAGAAGCTAAAATGGCACTTGGAATGTTGGTAGTTCGTTGGAGAGACATACCACGGATGTGTAACTCCCTTGGTCCATTTTCCTCTTCACTCCTTCCAGATCTAAAGGCTGCTGCTCCTCCTGTTTGCTGACCTCGGTAAGCACCGGCGGGTCAGGCCCTTCCGGGGAGCTGCGGGAAGGTATGCTCTCCTCTGTCTCAGGATTTAAGTCTGGTGGCTTGGCAGCCTGTTGCCAGGAAAGACAGGTTTCTTTTACCTGACACTGAAAATGAGGCACCCGTGTAAATTCTATTAAAATTAATAAAGATAGCATGGAAGGATTCCTATTATTAAACCTAAAGAACGTGAAAATAATCAGAGATTTCTTAAATAACAGAAAAAGTAATCGGAACGAGCCAGTTCTCTAAGACTTTGACCATGAAAGTCTATGACTTTGAACTTAGAAGCTTTGCCTGATAACTTCCAAACCTCGTATGAAAACATAGACACCCTCCAGTCCCTTCTGAGGAAGACAGAGATTGCAAATGTTCCTATCCAAAATGTGAGTTCTATCAAGAGATAAAGCAACAGCCTATCTCTGAGTTCAAGTTATCCATGTGGTTCTTTCAGCATTTTACCTTGAGTTTCTAATGACTACTCTACAGATGTATATAGTTCACGACTAAAATAGACAAAAAGTAGTGATTTACAAATTGTGCCCCGAGGAGCCTAGGGATTTCCCAGAGGGAAAGGGTCTCTAGCCACATGACTATCATCTTAGATCAGGCCCTCAATCTCTCTCTTCCCCAGATTGATCTAACTGCCTCCCAACCACTATCCCTGCTTCTAGCCTCAGTCCTCACCAATCCTTCCTCTCTCTTCTAGTCAGAATCACTTTTTCTCTAAAAAAGCAAATCTGATCAGGTTACTCTTGGGTGAAGCTCTTCATTGGTCCCTCTCAGACCCTTCAGAGTAGAAAGTCCAAATTTCTTATCATAACAGCAGAGAAGTTCCCTAGACAAGGTCTTACTCTGGGCTGTAAAGATTTTCTTTAAAAAAAACCTTTTTTTTTCCTAATGGTTATTCATTTTTGAGAGAGAGAGAGACACAACAGGAGTGGGGAGGGGCAGAGAGAAAGGGAGAGGAGACACAGAATCCGAAGCAGGCTTCAGGCTCTGAGCTGTCAGCACAGACTCTGACGCGGGGTTTGAACCAGATCACGACCTGAGCTGAAGCTGACTGAGCCACCCAGGCTCCCCGGCCCTGAAGGTTTCCTTAATGGTTGAAAGCCACAACAAGTGACTCTACAAAACTAAATGAAGAATGACGCAAAATAAAATCAGAGCAAATAAACCAACATTCCATCACCGGAGAAAACCCACTTCAGAACAAACTCTTAGGAACCGACATGAGACTCGGGCCTACCTGTCGGTAGCGGAGCAAGTGGCTGGTGGTCCGAGAGTTCAGCAAAGCTGTCAGGACTTGCTTCAGAGAGATCTGTAGCTCTTTTTCAAGGGCCAGTCGCCACTCTGCAGGGTGCCGCTCAGTACAGTTCACACAAGTATAGGCCACGCTTTCTGGCAGATTAGATAGAATCTCATACATCTCATCTGGAAAAACAAAAACCTACGATGCTGAGGTGCTCTGAAGGGTGGCAGACAGGGAGAAGAGGACATTACTCCACTGAATTTAATATAAAGTTGTAGGTTAGGAACAGTAGCAAGACTCTAATATCCCCTAGGAACTGATCCCCACATACTGAGCTCCAAAGGGACGCCAGTAACACTAACCCAGGATTTGGTTACTGGAGGATCGACCGGTTACGGTGCCCACCAAAAGCTAGCAAATGAATATTGTACATGTTTATGTTCCTGATAAATGAGCACAACTTAACACGACAGTGTTAGAGACCGAAATTATCTAAGTTATTCTAGAGACCAAGGAGGGAAATTTAAAACGACTCTAAGTAACAGCATGGCCGTAATGTTACGTTTACAGATTACTCTGGGGGCTGTAAATGTACCAAGAAAGAAGAAAACTGTAATAAAAAAAAGACTCCAACCTTCTGTACCTGAAAGATTCTCACATTTGGAGTGGACCCAGCGGTCGCACTTCCCACACTGCATCATCTTGCTCTCGTAGTCGTCGTCGTCATAGCACTTGTCACACAGAGGGCAGAAGTTCCCTGTGAGCAAAGCACGCGGTTCAGCGGGGCTCTGGGCCCTCTGCTGGCACCTCTGAGGCTGGGGCTTCTATTTGCCGGAACTTCTTAACAACGCCAGCATAGATCTACGATGGGATGCTCACACATCTGTGAGGCGTCAAGATTATTCTGAGCTCTTAGAACATACCACTAATTCCACTTAGACTCCTTTTCTTTTGGAGTAGCCTCCACATCTAACGTGGAGCTTGAACTCACGACCCTGAGATCGAGAGTCACATGCTCTATGGACTGAGCCAGCCAGGCACCCTTATTTAGACTCATTTTTAAAGGTCGTGGGTAGAGTCTACAGACGACACAATAAAAAAAGAATGAAAGAGAGAGTTTTCTCTCTTGAACATTCCAAAGAAATGTCTATATTTTTTAAAAAAGGCTGAGGATATGGGTGTAAAATAACACAGTTAATTTACACCTCCTTATTCCTAGTGATTTAAGTTAGAGCTTAGAGCAGCACTTCGAAAAGTTCAGCACAACATACAACTTTCATCCATTTGTTTTATCCATAATATCCTCTATCATCCTTAATAGACCTAACATTGATTTGCTTATATTAGTAACTTGCTTATATTAGTATAACTTCCAATAGTAAACTTTATATCATTATTATCCTAAATCAGCAAAACGAGTTTAACGTATTAGTTATTAATTTTTTTTCTAGCATATCTATGAAAATAAAATATTTGACTCAATACCACCTAAAATCGCTTCTGAAACAATGAAATGTCTATGTACCTTACTTTCGGAAATAATGGCTTAGAGCATTTCTTTGTGGTTAGTTATTACAACAAGTCCCCTTAATTCTTCCCATATAAGCTAACAAAATATTTCTAGTTGCTGTAATACTTCGCGTAAAGAAAAGAACAAGGCCAGGAATTTAGGAAATGGTCTAAATGGTACCCTTGACAAAGTGTGCAAGACTTTGTATTTTACTTCCCTGGAGTGTTCACCTCCAGAACAACCAAATATAACCCCTGAAAGCTGATAAAACCGGCTTTTTTGATGTACCTTTAGCAAAGAGTTTGGCACAGTCATGGCACAGTGAAAAATCATGAGACCACTGTGCGTCCCATCCTTTGCCTGGAGTCGTGGATCCACAGCTCTTGCAACGAACACACTTGGTGCAGATCTGGAAAAGAAAAGAAATTCAATAGGAATTTATTTGTAGTATCTCATCTCATTTAAAAAGATCTCGGATGCAATCAGTTTCCAGAGTGGACTTCTTCCCTGGGATGGCTTTCCTTAATAATGAGACCAAAACATTGTTACAATGACATCCTCGAGCAAGGCTCTCCCTGTTACAAGGTGCACGAGCCCCAGAGCTCCATGCCAGTTCTCTCTGAAACAGCACGATGTGTGCACTCACCCAAACTTTCTTTTTCTTTGTGGGTTTGGTGGGGTAGTTTGGTCCCAGGCACTCAGGGTGATAGCTGTTTCGGCACTTATTACACTCCAGCAGCTGCTGTAGGAAATATAAAGGCAGAGGATGAATAGCTACCAACTTCCAGGTATAAAGTGAGTAGGTCACAGACACGGAAAGCGCAGTGTAGAGAATACAGTCACTAGGACTGTAATGGTGTTGTGCATTGGCAGATGGCGACGACACTTCTCACGGTGGGCACTGTGTAATGTACAGAAGTGCTGAATCATTAAGTTGCACGCCAAAAACTAACATAATATTGTATGTCACTTACAATAAAAAAGAAAATTTAAAGGCAAAGGTGGATATCACATCAATTCACTTGAAACACCTATGACTCAGTGTCCCTTTCATATTTATCTGCAACTAAAGTATAGCACATCATGATAACAGTTTAAATTTTCTCACGAACTATTTATTCTCAGTGAAAGCATGCAGATTTAGGTCCTGCGAAAGGTCCTCGGTGATGAATGTTCTTATCGGGTAGATTTGATTTACTTTGGGGGATTTTACCTAATGACAACGTTTTCTCCTATATGCCCCAAATTAAAACACAAAAATAGGCAATGAATTATACCTAAATAGTCATGCTAGACTAAGCCAACAAAGAAAAAATATAGGTACAAAACCCCAAAACAAAAGGCAGAGATGGAGAGAGGGGGTAATCCCCTAAAGAGTTCTATCACTTAGTTTTATACCTTTGTAGCCTGGTGCTGCCTTCCACAGACATGACAGAACTTGCAGCGACGACAACACCAATTTTCCAGCTGGTCCTCCAGAGGGCGCTCGTTCTCCTCTAAACAAAACTTGTGGAAGGGCTCACAACAGACTTGGCAATACACAAACTAGGGTAGATGGGAACATAGAAGTTGTCAAATAACATGAAGAAATAGCAACCAAATCCTATCTATATACTTCAGGCTACAGGAGCCCAACATGTTTTATTCAACATATAATCATTCAGCAATGATTATGTAAAAAAAAAAAAAAAAAGTCCAATATTAGGCATTGCAGGTGATTCAGGGGACTAAAGTAATAACAGTAGAATTAAAAAAATAACTCTATAGGGGCGCCTGGGTGGCTTGGTCGGTTAAGTGTCCGACTTTGGCTCAGGTCATGATCTCGCGGCTGGTAAGTTCGAGCCCTGCCTCGGGCTCTGTGCTGACAGCATGGAACCTCGAACCTGCTTCAGATTCTGTGTCTCCCTTTCTCTCTGCCCCTCCCCCACTCATGGTCTGTCTCTGTCTCAAAAATAAATAAACATTAAAAAATATTTTTAAAGTAACTATATAGATATGTATTTTTTTATATATAATAAATACATTCCCAGATTTAACAGAATGTGGCTAAGTGCCATAAGCAAGCTACAAGAGCTATGGGAAGGGGGAAATGGGGAGGTTTTGTGTGTTTGCAGGGGAGAGGCAGAAAGAGAGAGAATTCCAAGCAGGATCTGTGCTGTCAGTGCAAAGCCCAACGCAGGGCTCGAACCCATGAACCAGGACTTGAACCCATGAACTGTGACATCATGACCTGAGTCAAAAGGAAGAGTCAGACACTGAACTGACGGAGCCACCCAGGTACCCTGGGAAGGTTTTAAAGGTTTCTGACAATACACTAAAGACAGTCGTAAGCTCTGGTTTATCCTTTCCATCTGTAATTTTAAAATGATATTTTCATATAGGCATTTTAAAAAATTTTGAGTAAGAATTCTATTTTGCTGGGGCACCTGAATGGCTCAGTTGGTTAAGCATCCAACTCTTGATTTTGGCTCACGTCATGATCTCACCGTTCATGAGTTCAGGCCCTACATGGGCCTGATGCTGACAGAGTGGAGTCTGCTTGGGATTCTCTTTGCCCCTCCCCGCTTGTGCTCCCCCCTGCCTCAAAATAAATAAATAAACTTAAAAAAAAAAAAGAATTTTATTTTGCCATAACAGAATTATTGGGGCAACTGGTCAAGTCTAAATGAGGTCTATAGATTAGGTTAACAGTAATATACCAGTGTTAATTTCCTGATTTTGATAACTATACTGTGATTACATGAGAATGTCCTTGGTTTTAGGAAATACACACCAAAATATTCAGACGTAAAAGGACACGCCTGCAACTTACTCCCAAAGTTTCAGAAAAAAATGTGTCTGCATATAAAATGTGGATACATATTTAACTTCTCACTTTGTAAAATACGGACACACAAAGAGAAAAGGATAAAGCAAATAAAAATATTGACATTTGAGGGGCACCTGGGTGGCTCAGTCAGTTAAGTTTCCAACTCTTGGTTTCGGCTTAGGTCATGATCTCGCAGCTGGTGAGTCTGAGCCCCACGTCAAGCTCTATGTTGGCGGTGCGCAGCCTGCTTTGGATTCTCTCCCTCTCTCTCTCTCTCTGCCCTTCCCCTGCTGGCTCTCTCTCTTTCTCAAAATAAATAAACTTAAAAAATTAACATTTGGGAAATCTGGGTGAAGGATATATGGGAATTCTTTGTACTCTAACTTTTCTGCAAACCTGAAATAACACCACCATAAAAAGATTTTTAAAATTCAAATGCCAGAATTCATTAGGCACTGGTTATGTTTTAGGAGTGCAATGCAGGCAGTGGGCTATTCCTTTTCTAATTCAGTTTTTTGGAATCCTGTGGGATTGCTGTGCATAACTACACAATTTAAATTAAAGCAATTATAGTCTGAAAAAAATTGTTTTATCATAGAAGTTGAAGGACTGGTGCTACAAGTTATTCATGTGGATAGCATATGTATGGATGCAAAGTATAAAGATTACATACAAGAAATACAGCAGACCCTTGATGTTACAGACCAAATATTCTTCACTTGCTCTTAGCCAAAAGGCGGAGAATCAATTATAGACTGAATATTCTTTTTTTTTTTAAATGTTTTAATTTTTTTTATTTTTGAGAGAGAGACAAGGACGGAGGAAGGGCAGAGAGATGGAGACACAGAATCTAAAGAAGGCTCCAGGCTCTGAGCTGTCAGCACAGAGCTTGACGTGGAGTTTGAACCCATGAGCTGTGAGATCATGACCTGAGCCAAAGTCGGACACTTAACTGACTGAGCCACCCAGGCGCCCCTACACTGAATATTCTTAATCTCAATGGTATCTAAAGCAACCCCACCACTTAGAACAATATTATAGTTCACGATAGGCACTAATAGATTTGCTTAATGAATGAACACCAGACAATAATGTATAATTTTGCTAATGTATAATTTAACATAGCAAGTGGGCAGGGCTGAATCTCTTAGCTAGTGAATGAGTCTCACAGACTGCTCAATATCCACATTACAATCTGGGTTTGGAATTTCGTTATGATACTAAAATACCTATGTGATAAATAAGCGAAGGAGGCATTCTGGAATTGAGGATTGTATGAATGACAAACTTCTGCTTTCTATTTAAATTGTGCTTTTTTTCCTCTCTTACTGTAAAGGTGGCAGATACTCACTGCAAAAGATTCAAAAGGATAAAGAAAAATAAAGAGAAAACAAGTCAACCATAACCCAACCACACTTTTAAGATTTTGATGTAAATCTTTCCACAACTCTTTCTGAATATATTTTTAAAACAATGTCCAAACCAAAATGGGATCACGCCTTACATACCACTTTGTAACCTGCTATTTTAACTCAGTGACGTGTCAAGGACACCTTTCCATGTCAATATCAATCTGTATTATTATGTAGGACTTCATACTTGCCCTTATATGCATGTCCTATAATTATTTTAACCAAGCCCCCGCTCTTTACTGACAAAATTTTGGCTGTTTCCTATTTTTGATTACTATAAAGAGTACTGAAATAAAGTCTTGTATTTATTACATATATAGAGAAAGGTTTATTATATACATGTATGTATACAATACATGTATATATTATGTACATGTATGTTTATATACACGTGTATGTATTGTACACGCACATATGTATGTACACATATACCTATTTGCTGATCTAATTATAGCCTTAAGATAAATGCCTGGAGTACCATTGTTGGGTTAGACAGTATGCTCATTTTAAAGATAAATACGTATTTCTGAACAATCTGCTCAGAAAGAAAGACTAACATTTAGATTTCCACCAGCGGAAAGTCCCTATTTCCAAATCTTTTTTTCCCACGTGATTTTTTTTTTTAAGATTTTATTTTTAAGTAATCTCTACACCCAACCTGGGGCTAACACGCAACACAAGCTCAAGAGTCACATGCTCCACCAACTGAGGCAATCAGGTGTCCCTTCCCACATGATCTTTTTAATGCTTAATGTCCAATTTTTGTTCATCAGAAGGCTCTAGGACACCTCCCACCATGTTTATTTCTCATTTTGTGAATTACATATTTCTGTCCTTAGCCTTTTCTTTTAGTGGGTGTTGTTCCTTTTTCTTATTAATTGCCAAGAGCTCTTTATAGACAAGGGGTTTTTGATATTCAATATAAGATAGCCACATCTTTCTCTAGAAGAGCACTGTAACAGTTTTTCCATGTTTGGACATGTAGCAGAAATATCAGAACTCTAATAAAAAGAGTGAATTTAAGAGATGAGACCATCAAACTTTTCACACTCAATACTTTTGCTACTCTACTAAGAGGCAGATTCCTTCATAAAACCTCTACAAAATCTTCAAAAATACTTCGGTGGCTGGTTTCAAGAGGAGATACCAGGGCACCTAGAGGCCTCCTGTGGAGCATGCGACCTTGATCTCGGGGTTGTGAGTTTGAGCCCCACGTTGGGCAGGGAGATTACTTTAAAAATTAAATAAAATTAAAGAGGGGGTAAGCACCTGGTACACGCCAACGAAACAGAATAAATGATTCTTTCATTACAGCAAAATAATCTACCATTCAACTTTCTGGGGTACCAAGAAGCAGGATTTCTTACCTCTACATGCCCACTGCTGGCACAGAGAAAGCAAACCACTCTGGGGGTTATAGGAACAGAGGTCAGGATTCCTAAGCCTCCCATCTCCCATACATTTTCTGCTTCACAATCCTCCTGCAGAGAGAGAGACACAGGTCATTTATGAAAGTGTTACAATGACACCGCTTTGGAACGAAAGTGAGGATGGAAAGCCTAGAACCAGAGTGACAGCATAGTGTCCAGAATACTTCACTTCAGTGGGTTTGAAAAGAACTGCTGCTTTACAAAATTAGAATCTCAGACACACACGCTGTTAAAAGATACCTTGGGACTGACTTTTCCTTAAAGTTTTGCTGATTCAAGCCATCATCGTGGTTCGATAATTCCTATGTGAATGAATTCTTTCCTCACACTGTTCTCATCCAAATGCACTTTTATTGCTCACAATGGTCAGGAGTGCGTCAATGCCTGTGTTCTTTAGCCAGCTCACAAACAGTGGTGTCTCTCACCCCTGAACCCACCTTCTGATGGTAGTTCTTACTCCCTGACTTGGTGTCGAGTTGCCTTTCTTTCAATACCTTGGGTTAACATTGTTTTT